GGTAAGTGGATGGATGGATGGATGGATGATAAAGAGATGGGGTGATAGGTGGTTAGGTAGGTCGACAGATGGTAGACAGGTATATCGGTGGATGGAGGGATGGATGATGGGCAGAGGGATGGATGGAGGGAGGGAGGTGGATGGGTGGATGGGCAGAGGGATGGGTGGATCGATCAGTCGATCCATAATAGACAGAGGCAGGCTCTGGAGGGGTGTCTACTTCCAGAGAGGGAGGTTTTCTCGGGGGCGCACTACTGAGATCCGGGGGGCTCGTCTGTTTCTGGTGCTGGTGTCCCCACAGTGTAGCCTTCAGGGCCCTCCCCTTAAATCCGAGGTCAGAGCGTTGAGCCCCTGTCGTATTTCGGCCGCGGAGGTGCTGAAGTCCCTGCTGGTCCCTCGGTGCTCGGCAGCTGCTTCCATCTTGGGTGCAGACGTCTGCCCCACGTTCCGAGCCCAGGAGCCCGAAATGCCAGCAGGGGCGGCCGCGCTCGGGTCGGCTCTTCACGTCCCCCCAGTCCCGGCTGCCACGTAGCTCAGCCTCAGCCTCGGGTTTAGTGGGTTCCCACAGCCCTGCCCGTGGGCTGGGTCCGGCCTCCGATCCACATGCTCCCAAATGGGTCTATGGCCGGACGTGTGACTCGCGCTAGCGGCGCCCGTTCCCGAAAATGAGTGATGGGAGTGATGCAGGGTTTTCTGGAACTTCATCAGCTTTTATCTGCCCTCCCTCGTTGTAAAGTGGAAACCAGAATAGCCCGTATTCCTTACAATGCTGTCGTCGACACTGGTAGATTTGTGCTGTTCTTAAAGCTGAGTTTAAAAAAGAAGGGGCGGGGGGGCGCCTGGGTGGCTCAGTGGGTTAAGCCTCTGCCTTCAGCTCAGGTCATGATCTCAGGGTCCTGGGATCGCCTCCCGCATCGGGCTCTCTGCTCGGCGGGGAGCCTGCTTCTCCCACGCCAACACCCCCTGCTTGTGCTCCCTCTCGCTGTGTCTCTATCAAATTAATAAAATCTTAAAAAAAAAATTTTAAAAAATATCCAGAAATGATGGTGATTCTGGGCCTCAAGCAGGTGGGCATTTTGTCACGGAAGCGTGTAAAATTCGGTGGCACATGCGGGCTTGGTGTTAAACAGCAGGTTTTCACAGTGCTTGGCCTCTCACACCCCGAGCAACAGGGGCCGGGCCAGGGTCTGTGCCCCCTGCCAGGGTGAGGACACCAGCCGGCAGGGCCGTATTTGTACCAGAAAGCTCTCGGCCCGGCGTGTGGACTGAGCTCCCAGCTGGGGACAGATGGCGCTTCAGCGCTCACCTGGCCGCAGCCCCAGGCCTGCGCACCCTGGACACGGGTCTTCTCTGCGGAGCGGCTCCTGCCGGTGCGCAGGGGGAAGGCCTGGCCCTTTCTGAAGTGAGCGCCTGCAGGCTGGGCGGACTCCGTCGGTCAGTACAATGGCCTTCAGGAGCGAGGCTGCGTGGGCTGCACGCCCTTGTCCTTGCAGACGACCTTGCACGAGGCTCCTCAGCTCAGCCAGCGTGCCAAGCCAGGCGCCGGGCGTGTGTTCCGCGTCCTGTCTTGCCTTTGGGGAGCGTGCCAGGCAAGAGTGACCCACACGTGGTGGAATCGGGCCCCTCGATTCCTCGATTCACATTGGACCTGTGGCCTGCATGTCCGGAAGCGACTCCGCTCCTTCCAGTACAGGGACCAGGCCTATAAGCGCGTCTCGTCCTGCTCTCCCCGCTGCAGATACTCGAGGCTGCGCTGAGATCCTGCATCGTGTGGCGGGGATGTCCGACAGCCCCGGGGGGCCCAGATCTGCGGCACTCCGGGCCGACGTGCCAGCGGGACCTGCCTTTCAGCGGGCGTTCGCGTCCTCCTGCACCGTCTCCAGCAGCAGCCCCGGCCGGCGGCGGGACAGGTAAGGAGACGGGCCCTTGAGGGCTCCCGCAGACCTGACCACGGGCCCTGGGAAGGGAGGACGGGGCGCTCGACCTGCCGCTGACACCCGGCCACTCTGCATAACGGTCTCGCTTCATAAATACAATCACAGATGCAAACTCTGGAGAGTGTGCCCCTCCCCAACCCCACCACCCCAGTGTTGATAGGCTGAGCGCTCAGGGACTGACCACACGGGCAGCTGGAGTATGGGGACACGGGCCAATTAAGGACTGGGCGTCTGTGACAAGCGCTTTGAGCTGAGGCTGGAGCAGGGGTGCAGGGGGCCAGCCATGGCTTGGTGTCCCTCCACAGCCGGGGCTGGCGGGTGGGGTGGTGGTGGCCTGGGGGACGTGGAAGTTGTCCTGGTGTTCGGGAAAGTGCGGGGACACCCCCCAGTGGGGGGGGCGTGTCTCTCTGCAGACAGAGACGCTTGGCGCTTGGCGAGGGATGGCCGCTGAGCCGCTGCACGGGCACAGCGTAGGAATGGCTCCTGAGCGGCTCCCTGTGCGAGGACACAGTGCCCCAGTTCGGTGTCCACATTCTGCCTCCTGCCTCTGTGCAAGGGGGGGCTCCGCTAAGGTCAACCCACTCAGAGCGCAAAGGGTTTGCCGGTCAAGTGTGTGTGTGATGTGGGGCTTGGAGGTTGACTTTCTGGATTTCTAACCATGTGGTACCTTCTGATACCCTTGATCTGGGAAGTCCCCATTCTGGATATGGTAACTTCTCATGTTCCTTTTTTTTTTTAACGTGTTTCTATTTTTTGAGAGCCCAGTATGAGGCTTGAACTCACAACCTTGGGACCAAGACCTGAGCTGAGACTGAGATTCGGCTGCTTAACGCACGGAGTCCCCTGGGAGCCCCAACTTTTCACGCTCTCACTGGGATCCCTTAAGCAGCTGGCTGTCCAACAGGCACTTACTGGAAACTGAGTCGGGCACCCGTGCTAGGTCTTGGGGAGGAGAGAGAGGAAAGTGGGCGACACAGTCTGCGCCCAGGGGACGATGTTCTTGCAGGAGCTGCACATGACGCACCACGTGGTTGGCATCGGGGGGGAGAACAGAGGGACGTGGGCTGCGAGCTGGACACGGGGCCATGGTTGACTTTTGTTTCGAGGGGAGGGACCTTTGCTGGGTGAAGACCAAGGAAGGAGGGGGCAGAGCAGGTGTCCACTGGTGTGGGGGGGCAGAGCATCTGGGGTGCGCGGTGGCGGGGAGGGGAGAGCGGCAGTGTCTGACTTCTTGGGCCAAGCCTCAGCACCAGTGCCCATCCCTGTCCTCACCATCCACGGGACCCCCGGTGGCCTTGGGGCGTCTCCTAGGGCGGCGTTCTGATGGCTGCCTGTTTCCCCCAGCCCTTCGTCGGCCGAGCTCCCGTGGGCGGAGAGCAGCCCCAAGGCCACCCCGGCTCCGCTGGGGAGCAGCCGGCCGGTAGGAAGCCTCCTCGGCGCCGAAGAGTTCCCCAGCCCTGGTCCCGACGGCCCCGGACGGCCCCACCGCCTGCCTGCGGAGCTCCAGGCCTCTTTCCACAACCATGAGCTGTCCCTGGCGGAGCCCCCCGAAGCTGTGGGCCCCCCAGGTGGCCAGGCCTTCCTGAGCTTTAGCACGGCCCCCGTGGGAAGCGGCCTTCCCCCGGCAGAGGACCCAGGGGCCATGCTGGCTCATTCCCATGGAGCCCCCCAGGTCCCTGGCACCCCGCGGACAGCGGCTGCCGACAACGGCTTCCTTTCCCACGGCTTTCTCACGGTGACGCCTGGCCACAGCAGCCACCACAGCCCAGTCCTGCCGGGCCAGGGCCTGACCCTGCCCGGGCAGCCACCCCTTCCCGAGAAGAAGCGAGCCTCGGAGGGGGACCGGTCTCTGGGTTCGGCCTCCCCGTCCTCCAGCGGCTTCTCCAGCCCGCACAGTGGAAGCACCATGAGCATCCCATTCCCAAATGTCCTCCCGGACTTCCCCAAGCCTCTGGAGGCCGCAGCGCCCTCCCCAGGTAGGCACGTGTCAGCCGTGGTAGGCCCTGCCCCCCACCCCGTGTGCATTTGCTCATTGGGGGGCTGGGGTTCAGGGCGGCACCTTGAGAGCCAAGCCCGGAGCCGCCCATCAGGGTCTTCTCCTCGTTGCCCTCCGTTCCCGTCTGCTCTGCACACGCCCCATCAGCTTCTGTTTCTCCCGCCACTCGGAATCCTTGTTCTTTGAAAATAATCCTTCGTTCTCGAGTTCAGTAAGTTCATCCAGCATTTAATACAAGAGTTCAGATGTGTGCGACGAGGCTCCGGCAGGATTAGGCCACACTGCGCTGGCCGCGTGTCACGCTGCATCTGCGCTGCGTGTGTGGGGAAGCACGGGCTCCCTGCCGCACCCCAGCCGGTCCCCACGGGGCCAGACGGCACTCCTTCCCCGAGACACGCCGTCCCCGCCCTGGGCTGGACTTGGAGCACCGGGCTCCATGCGAGGTGACAGGCGGCAATAAACCATCCAGAGTGTTCTTGCCTTCTCTCTCTCAGATAACCCGGGTGATAAGCACGTGTCCGTGAACTTTGTCCAAGACACATCCAAATTCTGGTACAAGGCGGATATCTCCAGAGAGCAAGGTACGTGGGCGGGACGGGACCTCCGGGTGGCGACATCGGAGGGGCACGGCCCTGGGATGAAGGGTTAGGGCACTCCCGCGGAAAGTGTGACAGGCCGTCCCAGGAAGAGGTTCCCTGTTCCTATCTGGGACCTGAGCCACAGGGGCCAACGGTCAGGAGGAAGGACAGAGGTCTCTCCAACACCCCGGCATCTGTGCATCTACGTTTGTCCGCGGCAAACAGACATGCGCTCGCTAAGGGGGCGTGTGCCGGGTGTAACCTCGGGCCTCACACTCGTGCTGCACGGTGTCTACGTGTGCGCTCCTGCCCCAACATCTGACGTCCATGTGTTTGAGCCGTTAATGCCACTGCTTCCCGCAGGACGAATGGAAGAGGGGTCCAGGCGGGAGGCGGTCCTACGAGGCAGCCCCAGGGGCCATCTCACAGCAGGGTTGCTGGGATGGGCTGGTCATCCCCGAGATCCTCCCAGAGGAACCCCGGGGACTGCTGGCGGGCGTGGGGCTGAGCCGGGGACAGTGTTTCAGGGAGAAAGTCATCTGGTGTTGTCCTGAGGCTTTTTCCCCACCTGCCTGGAGAGAAAGAGTTAAGTCGCTGGCAAACAACACCCTTCTGCTTTCTCTCTGGAATTCTTCTATTCAATTAAGTAGCTCATAAAAATGGTAAGAATGTGCCTTTCTTCCACTGAGCTCAAGGAACGTATTGTCATGTTTCGTGGGGGGGCGGCCCGCAGCCCAGAGAGCCCTCTGATTCCCTGAATTGGCCTTTGGGGCGTTGCTGCTCAGCTCAGTCCGGGCTCTGCGTGGCCAAGTGCTGCATTGTTGTCCCCTCCCTGCCCATGGTACGGGAACCCCCGAGATGGAGGCTGTGAGCCCAGCACCTTGTCCAGCCAGAAGGGCTGTGAAGGGCCTGTGACATGCCATGTTCCAGAAAATTCTGTGCAGACCACCTACTCCACTGGTGCGTGTCTGGGCTGGGCAGGCCGGCTGGGCTGCCGGAGTAGCTGGGGCTCCACCTCGGAGGCAGGTGACGAGTGCCAGGGATGTGCCTTTTTCTGGAAAAGCTACAGTGAAACGTCAGGGACATGCAGGAGGAATGGAAAGTGAAAGTGGGATAGCGTCTTCAGGGATGCAGCTGGTCCTGTATCCCTGTGGCCGGGTGGATTGCTCAGCATTTTTCCTAAACCGAATGTAAAAATGCCTCAGGAGGGGAAAGGGGCCACCGGGCAGAGTAGAGACAGAATAGAGCTGTGTCGGCGGCACTGGCTGGGCCTCTGCCATGGGGCTCTGGAAGCACCAGCTGCGGGAGGTGGTGGGGACATGGCCACTGACTCCACTGACCTCACAGGGGGATGGGAGACCCCCACGGGCCTCATCGCCCTGCAGAACGGGTCCCCCTTGTTCTGTTTCAGAACAGGGTCTGACATTGTCCTCAAGCTCCTCTCCGTCTGTGACCCATGACGCTGGGGCACCTCTGTCCACCCCCCACCTCCAGCGAAATAAGGTCATGATGTTAAATGGGAAAACCAAAAAGCCTGGTGAGGTATAGCACGGTTGAAAACGTGTCATTCATCAGAAATCTGTTCCTGCGTCAGCAGAATAGGCCTGCTCAGCCCCCAGATGCAGGCACCGGCCACGAGCAGGAGCCTGCTGGGGTCCGTGGGTGCCACCTCCCCGCCAGCCCTGGCGCCCGGGACTTGGTCGTTGGGGTCAAGTGCGGGCCCTCCCAGGGCTGCACCAAGCCCGTGGGGTGAATCGTGGGATTTGTGTTAAACATTCAGTAACTTTTTGGGGCCATCCTTTCGATCTTTCCGTCTGCTCGGTTGGAAGGACTAAGTACAGTGCTGCACGGGCACCAGGCAGGGCTGCAGCGAGGACGGGAGAGAGCCTCGCACCTCGCCTCTGCCCCACCACGCCATGCAGACTGGGACTTGGCCCAAGCACTTGGGCTGGCGGTTGGACCACATTCCTGGGCAGCAGCTGTGGGCCGTTGCCTGTGCCTCTCAGGTGCTGCGGGAGAAGCAGGAGTCATGTGTGCCAGATGGCGGGGGGTGCTCTCTGCAGCCTCTGCCGTCAGGCTCCCCTTGAAAACGATGTGTCGTCACCGAGACCCCCACCCTACCCCAGAGGCCTGCGCCTGCTCCCTCCGACCCAGTTTGCAAAAGCACTCGTCTGCCACGTGTGCGGGCAGGCCTCATGGACCCCGGCAAACGCGTGTGTGTCTCTGCTTCCCTCCCCAGCCATCGCCATGCTGAAGGACAAGGAGCCAGGCTCATTCATCGTCAGGGACAGTCACTCCTTCCGAGGAGCCTACGGCCTGGCCATGAAAGTGGCTACGCCCCCCCCTTCCGTCCTGCAGCTCAACAAGAAAGGTAGGGACCTGGGAGCTGATGGGGCGCGCTCAACGCCTGCGAGGTCTGTGGCTTATGCGTTCGGCTGTGCCATGCTGGGGGACTTTACGAACACGGCTCTGAGTTTCTTCACAGTCTCCGTGTTGTTCCAGTGTGGCCCCCTCGGGACTGGCCTTGTGCAGGCGACATCGTTAATGATCTGTGGAGTTTAGTTCTTTATTGCTGTGAATGAGTGACGCGTTCCCTTGTTCGGCTGCCCGGGGCCCCATTCTGCCCCAGGAAGTGTAATAAATTCCCTCCCCTTCTCCCCGACCTTCCCTCCAGTGTCTGCAGACAGGCACGTTCCTTTTTCTTCGCATGAAAGGCAGTGGCCTGTGCATGCCTTTCTGCTCCGATGATCCGGAGAGCGTTTTGCTGGATTAAGAGTGACGCTGGATCATGAGCCCCAGGGGTGTCCCCACGGCCCTCCACCCCATGAACCGCGTGCAGCTGTGTTCAGATCTCTGCTCACTCTCCCGGGTACTTTCCGTCATGGACATGACCATGTGCAGAGAAGGTCGCGAGGGCTGTGTGCGCGGTGAACGTTCTCATGAAGCAAACACACGTGTGCCCACAACCAGGAGACAACCTCGGGGGAGGCCCCTGCACCCCTCCTGTGTGTCACGCTCCATCAGCTTGTGACCTTGCGCATATCCCAGAGACCATAGATTGGGCTCCGTGAGGCCCTTGGGGCTGGCCACGTGTCCTTCCGATGTCCTACTGTCTGTCCTTTTCCTGCCTACCATTCCTGCAAGAATCCCTGCGTTCTGTGGTCTCTGGGAACCTGAACGTGTGAGTGCTAGGTGTGTTGGGGTGTCCGAGGGGGACTGGCTCACTCTAGAACATTGGTCAGTTCGTGCTGACAGAGGCTCTGGCGTGGAATCACGGGGTCCCAGGGTCTTTCCCACCTTCCCCTGGTGATGAGCTCCGTCCCCAGCTACACCTGCCCCTTTTCTGTGCCCGACAGACACACACTGTCCAGGTCGCCCATCCTGCCGCTGCAGACAGGACACCTGCTAAGTAGAAGGGAGAGTTACAGCATCTTCCTCTTAACCAGCGAAATAGTGATCCCTGAACATCATGGTTTTGCCCCTTTTCAACTCTGCATCAGAGAACTAATATGTATTCTTTCGTGAGGTTCTTCTGCTGCCTTCTAAGATTCATTGTTTCTACTTGTAAGACTGTGGTGACTGTCACTCTGACGGCTTTCCAGGGATTGCAGGCCCGCGTTGGAGACACCGCAGGTGCGTGTGTCGGAATAAGGTGATTCGCAGTACGCGTATCCCCGTAGTGCGTGTTACGATAATGCGTATAGCTCTGGTGCACGTCAGACGAGCTTCCAGGCTTCTCGGTGGGCATGAAAGTCACGTTTACTCTGTGCTGTGGTCCACGAAGTGTGCAACGGCCTGCTCTCTCAAAAAGCAGTACACACGCCTTAATGAAAAAACACTTTGGTGGGAAAGCCGTCTGAGCGTCCCACCTGTCTAATCTCAGGTCACAGTAACAAGCGTAATAATAACGAAAAAGCTGGAAATACTGCAAGAAATACCGACCTGTGACACAGGGACGCGAAGTGAGCAGATGCCGTTGGAAGAATGGCTCCCGGGGACTCCCCTGATGCAGCGTAGCCGCCAGTAGTTCATAAAAAACGCCACGTCAGGAAGTGCCAGGAGGCAGGCTCCTTGCCTGGGCGCCGGGCTCATCACCGGGCACGGGGGCGTCCGGATAAGCAGAGTAGGAGCTCCCACGTTTAAGGAGCAAAAGGACACTGGCCTGCTTCACTCACGTGCCGCGTCCTGGACCGGAGAGGTGGACGGGAAGCCTGGATGGAGACTGTGCTCACGGTGTCCAGGAGCAAGTAACCTCGGAGCCGCACCTGGAAGGACATGAGGTTCGGTGGCTGAGGCGTCGGCCGAGGGGCTCTCAGGGAACCGAGGTGTCTGCCGTGGGAGCAGCGGAAGGGGCGGGGTGCAGGAACTCAGACCCACGTCCGGACGGTGCTGCCTGCAAACGGCGGAGGAGGAGGCGTCGTGCACATCGCGTGGGACAGCTGAGCCTGGAGAGGAGACCAGCGGGAGAAACCCCAGCAGTCCTGAGCGAGGCCTCGAGCAGGAGAGTCTCCAGACGGGAGCACTTGGTGTCTGTGGACGGGGTCCGCGGGGAGAGCGGGGACGGGCGCTGCGGAGTGCGTAGGGCTCTTGCTCCATGGAGACTGTGAGCCGGCGTCCTTCCTGCACATGCTGTGGCTTCGGAGACGCGGACGGTGCCGTGTGCGTGTTCTTGCCTCCTGCTGGGCACAGACCTCTCAGGCCAACCTTGACTCAGCCTGAAGGTGAAGGTCACAAAACATCACTGGTGTCCTCTGGTTGAAATCTTCACTGGCTGCCTGTCCTCGCCCAGCCCTGGATTTGGCAATTGGCTGTCACGGTGCAGGGGGAGTTGGAGAGGGAAGAGCCCGGCAAGTCAGCACCCACCTCTGGTACCCAGAGACCGGGCAGTGACAGACGTCCAGGACAAATCTATTCTCCGGGCAGCCAGCGGCTGACCGTCCCACTGAGACACCTGTCCCTGGAGCCTTTGTCCCCTTCAGTGTGGAAGACGCGGATCCTTCTCCTCCCACAGCCATGGTGGCACACTGCTCCTTTCCGCTCCTGTGTTCGCCACAACCTGCCATGGAGTCTGACCGTCGCTCTTCCTGCCAGCCCTCCCCATCGCCCCTGACGTGCCCGCTGCTGTTGTCCGTCAGGCTGTGTGGGAGCCGCCCATGGGCCCGGCGGGCAACCAGACTCACTGCCCGCTGGTGCCGCTGTCGGGTGGTTTCCAGCTCAGTTTGGTGGTTTTCAGGACGCGCCCCGTCTTCAGATGCTCAGGCCGGTGTGGGGCAGCGGCGATGTTCTGTCTGGTCCCAGTGACGGAGGGCTTCTTTCCTGGGGGTCTGCCACAGGGCTCCTGGCTGGTCCCTTCAGCTCCCGTCAGTGGCTTGTTCTCGGGCATCACCTCGCGTCCAGATCCTTCTAGTTTCTCCTGTTACGAGGGGAAGGGTCTAGATGGCATGTTCCTCTTTGTAGCTGCAGACTCATCCCTGCACTGGGAATGCTTGCAGAATGTGTGAGGGTCCGTCCCCAGGACCCCTGCTCCTCTGGACATGTCACTGTGGGGGGCTCTGCTCTCATCTCCAGGTGCTGCTTGGCAGCCCACCGACGCCAGCGGCCCGGCTCCGGGGGCCCCTCCCTTTAGCTGGTGCTCTGTCCCTCTCTCCCATCCTCCCGTGCTCTTGTTTTTTAAATTCTCTTTTTTCTTTCTTTTCAATCTCTCACCGCAGCGGGGGATCTGTCCAATGAACTCGTTCGGCACTTTCTGATCGAGTGTACCCCGAAGGGAGTGCGGTTGAAAGGGTGCCCCAACGAACCCTATTTCGGTAAGTCGCTGTAAGGTCCCAGTTAGCATTCTGGCCCATGCCAGAATGGTGTGCACCCCGACTGCTGCCCCGAGAGGTGGGGCCGTCCCCTCCCATGCTCCGGGCTCCCCGTGCCCTCCCCCGAGTTACCGTCTCTACGATAAACTGGGTAGGGAGTTGTTCCGAAGGCTTTCTCAGACCCAAATAGATGGCAGACAGGTGGTGGCCTCGCACGCAGGCCCACGAGTGGGGTCTGGGTTAGAGCCGGAGCACGGGCCGTTCCTCTCCGTGAGAAGAGCCCTTGCCGGCCTTGCAGGCTTGCCGGGATATACCCGGACACACAGTCCCAGCCTCCAGGAGCACATGGCAGGGACCACAGAGGCACCTGGGCTGCAGTCCCAGACTCCATCGACGGCCGATGTCCGCTGTAGAAGTCGGCACCTGCATGTCTTGGCCAACACTCACCCGCAGTCCCTTTACGTAGCTTCGAGCTGTCTTGCGGGACTGGTCACATCACTGAAGCTTTGCACCAAGTCCCGCAGTAACGGAGTATTAGTTGCTAAAAGCAGAAGCGCTCGCCCCCCGCAGGGGCTTCCCGCAGCGGGCACATGGGCGGAGCGGGCGGTGTGTGGGGTCCCGCTAATGCCCGTCTGCTGTTCACCCATTCCAGGGAGCCTGACGGCTTTGGTGTGTCAGCACTCCATCACGCCCTTGGCTTTGCCCTGTAAGCTGCTCATTCCAGACCGAGGTACGCAGGGGGGCCTCTGCGCGGCCGGGCTGTCGCGTGTGTGGGGAACGGCAGTGTTGGGTCCATGAGGACGCGCCCACAGAAGTTGGACCGGAGTCGTCCTCTGTCGCGTGCCCTGTGGGTGAACCCCAAAGAGCATCGTGTGGTCCAGCTCAGTCGGCAGAGGCAGGCCCTGGTGATGCCGTCACCTCACGTGACTACAGTGTCATTTGGCCGTACTTCCCACCTTCTTGGGCAGCCTTGATGTCACGTGATTGTAGTAGATTCGTAGTGACTGGTTTACGGCGTAGGTAAGTGCGATTTGCCCTCCACAGTGGTTCGTGAGAGCGGAGAGAGACGTGTTGCTGGACCACGTTGCCCCCTCCACCTGCTCAGAACGCCGGGGGTTGTCACCGCCTGGGAACCCAGGCCCCCGAGTCCCACCCTGTTGTAAAGGTTCTTCCCCGGGGAGCCGGACTCATGCCCGCGTTTTCTTTCTCCTTTCCGCAGATCCGTTGGAGGAGATCGCTGACAGCTCTCCCCAGACGGCGGCCAACTCGGCCGCAGAGCTGCTGAAGCAAGGAGCAGGTTAGTCGCTGGCTTCGTGCCCGCCGGTCCGAGTTCCTGGGTGGAAAGGGGGGTCTTCTTGGGTCTGAGGGTTTCCTTCCTGCTGGGTGCGTGAAGGAGCTCCCTTTTGCGGGGCCCCCCCAGGCCGGGCGCAACAGCGAGTGTGGACGGACAGAGCGAGGCCTCCCCGAGCTAAAAATACCCCCACTGCGGACAAGACGAGAGACTGCGGGAGAAAGCCAGGTCCTGGGTTTCGTCTGGGAAGAAGGCAGGGAGCCAGTTGTGGGGGCCCGGCCCCCCCAGCCGTGAGTGTAAGAGCGCTCGTGGGCCTAACTGAGCAGCCGACAGCATCGCCCCATTTGCCCACAACCCAGGGTGACACAGACCCCGGGACAGCGAGTTTGCCTGGGCACATGTTTTTTTTAAACTAATAGACTTTATGAAGTTTTAGAGCAGTTGTGGGTTCACGGCAACATTGAGAGGAGGGTAGAGGTTTCCCACAGACCCCCTGCCCGACATTCCACATTACGGTGTCCCCCGCCACAGGGTACCTTTGTTCGTGAACCTATGTTACGTGTCGCTGTCACCGAGTCTCCACTGGGGCTCACCCTCGGTGCTGTTCCTTCTGTGGGTTTGGACACATACGTAATGACGCGTCCCCACCACCAGGGTATCATCCAGAGGACTTTCGTTGTCCTAAAAGTCCTCTGTGCTCTGCGTGCTCCTGCCCACCCTCCAGACCCTGGCAACGCTGACCCTTTTCTTGCCTCCATAGTTTTGCCCTTTCTAGAACATCTCACCATTGGAGTCATAGAGTTGGTAGCCTTTTCAGATTGGCTTTGTCCCTTAGTGCCAGAAGTTTCCTTCACGTCCTTTCATGGCTTGGGAGCTCATTGCTTTTTGGTGCCAAATGCTCTTACACTGTCTGCACGGACCACAGTGTACTCCTCTGTCCCCACTGAAGGACATCTTGCTTTGCTTCCAACTTTTGGCAGTTGTGCATAAAGCTGTGGGAAACATCATATCTAGGTTTCTGCGTGGATGTGAGCTTTCAGCTCCTCTGGGTAAATAAAAAGGAGCACGAGTCCTGGATTGTATAGTCAGAGTATGTTCGGTTTAGTTGTGTGGGTTTTTGTTTTTGTTTTTAAAGAGGGAACACAAGCAAGGAGAGGGGGGAGAGGGAGAAGCAGGCTCCCCACTGATCCCCAGGACCCTGGGATCATGACCTGAGCTGAAGGCAGAGGCTTTAATCCACTGAGCCACCCAGGCGCCACTGGTATGTTTAATTTTGTAAGAAACCAGCATTGTTTTTCAAAGCCACTGTGCCATTTTGGATTCCCACCAGCAGTGAATAAGAGCTCCTTCGGCTCCACCTTTTTGCCAGCATTTGGTGCATCAAGGTTCTGGATTTGGGCTGTTTCTAGTAGGTGTGCTTTCATATCCCATCGACGTTTTAATTTGCATTTCCATGATGACACGTGACATGGATCTTCTCTTATTTGCTGCTTGTACGTCTTCTTTGGTGAGATGTCTGTTAAGGTATCTGGTCTGTTTTTTCATTGGGTATTTTTCCTCTTGTTGAATTTTAGAAGTTGTTTGTATATTTTGGAGAGCAGTCCTGTATCGGATGTGTCTTTTGCAAATATTTTCCCCCAGTCTGTGGCTCATCTTTTCATTCTTTTGACGTTGTCTTCACAGAGTGGAAATTTTTAATTTTAATGACATCCGGTTTATCTTCTCTTTCTTTCATGGGTCATGCCTTTGGGGTTGTCTCTAAAAAGTTTGTCACCAAACCCACAATGATTTGGATTTTCTTCTGTGTGGTCTTCTGGAAGTTTTATACTTTCACATTTTACATTCTGGCCTGTGGCCCACGGTGAGTCAGTGTTTGGGAAAGGTGTGAGGTGTGTGTTCGCGTCCTCTGTGGAAGACGGGATCTCCACTCCATGTATTATCTTTACTCTTCTGTCGAGGATCAGCTGACTGTACTTACGCGGGTCTATTTCTGGGCTCCCAGTGTTTTCTACTGATCTATTGTCTGTTCTTTTGCCAATAACGCGGTTGTGACTACTGGCTTTCCAGTAAATCTTCAAGTCAGGTAGCGTCAGTCCTCCAGTCCTGCTTCCCCTTCAAGCATGTGTTGGCTCTTCTTGGTCTTTTGCTTCCATATAAACTCTAGAATCCGTTGGCCAATGTGCACAAAATAACTTGCTGGGATTTTTATTGGAATTGAATTGCATCTATAGATCAAGTTGGGCAGAACTGCCGTCTTGACAAAATTGAGTCTTCTTATCCATGAACATGGACTCTCTGTCTGTTTAGTTATTTTATGTTTTTCATCAAAGTTTTACAGTTTTCCTTGTGACTATTTCTTGTACATAATTTTATTAAATTTATACTGAGGTATTTCACTGGGGACTGCTAATGTACATTGGATTGTGTGTTTAGTTCCAAACTGTGATTGTTCTCTGGTGGGCAGGAAAGGGATCGACGTCTATATTAATCTTGTTTTCTGCATCATGATGTAAGGACAGTCCCTTGCTCGCTGTTGCCACATTTGATGCAGGCCTTGTGGCCCCCATGTAGGTGGGCTGTGGACACGGCCAAGGCCACAGGGCTCCTGTGGGTCTGCAGCTGTGAGGGAGCCTAGTTCCCCATGGTGGACGTTTGCTCTTGGAAAGGTTGGGAAGGGAATGTCAGCATCTGGTTGGAGGCCTGGACAAGAAATACCTCCTTTCTGCACCGCGTATCAGTACCGACTTCACAGCCGTGGCTCTGTGTCGGAGGTCAGTGCGATCTACAGCTCTTTTCTTGTTACCGCCTCTGTACGATGCACATGGTTCTCTCGTGCAGTTTTTCTCTGCGGATCTCCCTGTCACTACGCCTGTTGCTCAGCTAAAATCCATCTCTCTCTCAACAATTAATGGAGTATTGAACTCTTTTCAGACCGTCCTTGAGGGATACGTTCTGTGTGTCCAGAATGAGGGTGACGTGCTTTGCGCCAAACAGCAACATGTTAAACGTGGAGGTCCAAAATGAGGAGCGTGGGCTGTGTCAGCCCTGTGTTCAAGTCCAGGCTCTACCGCACAGGGTTTTGACCACTCAGCCACGTGGACCTCGACGTAACGATGATAATGATCTCTCCCAACAGCATGGCTGCAGACGCCACGTGAATCAGACATTGAAAACTGCCGTGGGAACTGTGATGGGGGCACTCACACAGGTTATCGTGGTGTTATCCCTGCTGTGTTTGCACGGAAAATGCTCTTCCTGGCCGAGGAGACATGGCCCTTCCTGTGGCCTCACTCTTACCTGGCATGGGCCACAGTGGGGTGCCTGATGTCTCCAGGGTGTGTGCGCTCAGCCTGGGGTTTCTCCGCCCCCCACGTGCTCGGTGCTCTGCACTTGGCCCAGGAACCTCTTAGACAAGCCGCCTCTCGCGTTTCTCCCTCAGCTTCTTGGTTACCGTTTTTCCCAGTAAATGTCCAGTTAATAAACGTATAAGTGCATTCGCTAATCGTCCTTAGGAACAATTGTAGCCCTTGTGGTTGGATATTACAGCTTCTTCTACTCTGGCTTATCAACGATCTAACTTCACAGTCTTGTGGAAGAGCACCTGGCAGGCGCCAGCAGTGTTCGATCACGTGTTATTCTGAAGAATGGCAGATCCCAGGACTCGAGGCGGGCCCTGGAGACCACACGTGAGCCTCTGAGCTGAGCGTTTGTACATGATGGCGTGGAGCCTGTGTCCTTTTAAAATTGCATGTTTCTAAGATGTCCGTGCAGCTCACTTCATGGGGGACAAAGCAGGGGCGTGGAATCAGGACACGGATCCGTGTCTCGAGTGAGGACAAAACAGCCACGAGCTCACAGAGGCCCTGCGGTTGTTGGAAAAAGCGTAGGGAGGCAGTCAGACTGTCCCATCAGTGATCGCCTGGAGGGAACTGATTTTTTTTCCCCCAGATTAAATTTTTTTTTTAAGATTTTATTTATTTATTTTATAGACAGAGGTTACAAGTAGACAGAGAAGCAGGCAGAGAGAGAAGGGGAAGCAGGCTCCCTGCTGAGCAGAGAGCCCGATGTGGGGCTCGATCCCAAGACCCTGAGATCATGACCTGAGCCGAAGGCAGAAGCTTTACCCCACTGGGCCACCCAGGCGCCGCCCCCAGATTAAATTTTGTGAGTGTCCTCCTTCACCCCAGGGCTTGAACTGTCCTGTGTGGAGCCCTTCCCCGTCAAGCTGAGGGAAGCAGCACCCGGGAGCGTGAGCAGACACGGGCAGCCCCGCGGGGTGCACGCGCCCTCGTCCGCTTCCCCTCCTCTCCGGTCACCAAGGGCTTTCTGGGTCATTCCTATCTCTGACTGTTGATGTTTTTGTCTCTTCTTTGGTGGCGTTGAAGCCGTGGGATACAGTCCATCCCGAGAAGAAGGGCCAGGCCTCTTGCACATTTCCCAGAAGTGTTATGCTGTGTCCTTAACTTACCACATTGTGAAGGATATTTTCTTTATAAAAGCAGTAGAAGTTCTTTAAATTAAGAAAAGGGAAGGCACGCCCGGGTGGCTCAGTCCTTAAGCGTCTGCCTTCAGCTCAGGTCATGATCTCAGGGTCCTGGGATCGAGCCCCACATCGGGCTCCCGGCTCAGCAGGGAGCCTGCTTCCCCCTCTCCCTCTGCCTCCCCTCTTCTCATGCTCTCTCTCTGACAAATAAATAAAATCTTGATTTAAAAAAAAAAAAAAAGGAAGAGACTCGGAAAAGAGAGGAAAGGTGAACTGCTCAGAGGCCAGACGCCCTGGATGTTTTCCCGTATCTCGCTCCAAGTAAGAAGTTCTCCCTTTCGTCCACACACCGCGCAGGTCTCGCTTCCAGTGGCTGCACAGTGGTCCGTCCTGCTCCTTTGGGTTATTCCTGCTGCTCGATACTAGAAACAACCCTTGGGAGGCTACCTTTCCGCATTACGTCCTTGTTTCTGAATCTTGTGTTGCCGTCTTCGGACCCGGGTTCCCGGACGCAGTAGGACTGAGGGAGGCCATGTGTCCCTGAGGCTTTGTTTCCCGTGGGTATGACAGGTGCGGCCCGTTCACAGGAGGCAGCCCTGCTCCACAAGGCGACCCCCGCCCCCGGCAGGGCCACGCATCAGGTAGAATTGGACGTTGGGGGCCAGGCTGTGTGGACAAACCCTGGTCACCCTGTGCCGTCCCCCCACCCCCGCCAACTGGAGGGTAGGGCTCCGGGACCCGTATGCTTGGCAGACCCACCCCCGGCTGAGGTTTGGCAAGGGACAGCTTCCTTCCTCTGCTCTGAGGAAAGACCCCATGGCTCTGCCATCAAGGGTGAGAGTCCCCACGCCCCAACTCCTTATCGAAAGGCCGTGTGTAGTTCCACAAGGGCTGGTGGGAGCCCGTCCCATAGACCCAGGCTGTGCCCATTTTGTGGGATTCACTGCAGTTAGATCAGAATTCCTCGTCTTGTTTTTGGAAATGCCCACAGGAACGCTCATGAAATCGAAGGTAGGCCATCCACCCTCCGAAAATCACACGGTCTTGAAGTTTCCAAGCACCCATCCAGCTCCTGCTCGAACACGTGCACTTTCCTTTTATACTCATGACGATAGCAGGGACATAGTTTTATCCTGCTTTCCCATCCGCCTCTCACGTCTTTCTGGCTTTGAGGAATAGTTGATGTACCATCACTGCACAGGCCTGTGGCACATGGCGAGAGGGTTTGATGATCTAAGTTGTGAGGTGGTCACCTCCAGAGGCTCAGACCGTGTCCATCTTCTCATGTGGATACAATATAAGGAGGAAAGGAAAGAAAGGTTCTCCTTGTGCTGAGAAATCCTGGGACTCACTCTCTTCATGTCTTTCCCGTGAGCCACACGGAGCGTCGGCTGTGGCCGCCACACCCCCCCTTTGCCATCTTCTCGTCGCTGTACACGCGGCATGACCCCCCGTTTGCTGGCTGCTCGGTTTTGCATGGGGGTTTGTTGAACCATTCCGTTTTCCCACTAAGTCAGCATGTGCCTCCCGTATCCCCACCTCTGGGTTGGTCGTCCACCGTGGTTATGGAAGATTTCTCCTTCTGAGTCTTCTTGGAACCGGGACCTCTGGGACCCCGAGCCTCCTGATAAAGACAGCCACGTTATCCGGAAGGGCAGTCAGGGTTGACCCGGCATTTCATTGGAGCGTGGCAGGCACAGGGCACTGGGCAGTCGCGGTCATAATGTGCCAACATGCGCTCTCTCCTGAGACGACCCGTGTAAACCCCTCAAGTCCAGGTGGCAGCTGGAGTGTGGGTCACCCCCAGCCCTGCCGCTCCCCTTGGATGGTGCCGGCCAGCCAGAGGGAGCAGGTGCTTCTGCGACTCCTGCCCACCCCCTGAGCATCCCTCTGGGTGAGAGCGCGCAGGTGCGACCTCCGGAAGGTGTGTCTGCTGTGAGGACGGGCACATGGTGTTGTCTGCAGGCATCACCTGTGGCCAAGGGCGCTCGCACACAGCCTGCAGGCCTCACGGTAGAATCCACAGCGCACCCTCGGAATGTCCGGCGTGTCTCACTGAGCGCGCCCCGTCGACACTGCGGCAGCGGCAGAAGCAGCACAGAGCTGGGGCGGCGTGGACGCCCAGGGGCTGCGAGGCTGCTGGACCTCTTTTCGGGGTGTCCAGGCCACTGTGCCCTCTACTGCACAGGACAGGTGCAGATAGGTGGAGACGGGCTCCGGGAAGTGCTCTCCACAGCCCAAGAGGCAGGGATTGTCCTCAGAGTGCACAGCATTAGCGGAGCCCGGAGGTCCAAAAACGGTCGCGTTTGGGATAGGAAAGTTCCCTTTCCCTGACGGCACAGGACATTTCTGGCTGGTACTGGGTGCCGTCTCAAGCTGCTCTTGGTGAGGGAAAGGGAGTGGTTCAGGAAACTTTGTAGGGGAAAGCTGGGGTCTCGGAGAAAACTCGCTGCTGATGGCGAGTTCGGGGCTGTGCCCCTAGAGGAAGTGGGGTCACCCCCTGCAGTGAGCATGGCCGTCTCCGTGCAGGGTAGACAGTCTCGCTGAAGACCTCATCCGCCAGCCCTGGGCTGCGTCCTTCCCGGGAGGCTTTCTAGAATCTGCTCCTTCCCTTCTCCTGGGCCTTTCCACTTGGGCCTCTGCAGTGGCTCTGATGATAATTCGATTCTAGTGGTTTTTCCCCGTGACCTCAGCGGGACCCTGGCTGACATGCTTGTCACACTCAGCAACTCAGGATCAAGGGCAGAGCTCCGTACTCCGATGGACTCGGTGCGGACCCTTCCTCACACAGCCTTCGCTCCAAGTCACATGCCTCACGCATCGTCCCTGCTGCTCTGGATGCTGTGGCTTCCAGCTCTATGTGCGGATGCTTCTGAGGGGTGCTGGCCCTCAGGCTTCCCTCCCGCATGTTCCCTGACCGGCAGTGGTGCTGCGGACCCACACCAGCACGAAGGCGGGGAGGGGTCTCCGGCCCCAGTGGGGACGCAGCGGCAGGGACAGCGGGAGGCTCCTGGGATGGGGCCTCCGGGCACGTGTGTCCCACGTCCTGCCCCATCCACACCTGTGGAATCGGGGACCGAGGGCTTTGCCTCCGGTGAACACCTGCTTCCCCGGGTGTCTTTCAGCCTGCAACGTGTGGTACCTGAACTCCGTGGAGATGGAGTCGCTCACCGGCCACCAGGCCATCCAGAAGGCCCTGAGCCTCACCCTCGTGCAGGAGCCGCCTCCCCTGTGCACGGTCGTGCACTTCAAGGTGTCGGCCCAGGGCATCACCCTGACGGACAACCAGAGGAAGTGAGTGTGCCTGGGCCCGGGCTGCGGGTGGGGCTTCTGGGCACCCGGTCGGACGTCCCGCCAGCCTGCGCATCCCTGGGATGAGGCTCTGGACGCGTCCCTCGTCGGCACGCCCCGTCCTTCGTGACCTCCCAGGAGCCGCACGTAAACCGTGGACATTCGGCCCAGGGCCTTTCTTCTTGGGAGTCAGTAAAATTGTAATAAAAAAGAAAAGGGGGAAAGGTTTGGACCTTTGAGTGTCTCACCCACACACGAGTTTAATTTTTAAACAGCAAAACCTTTTAACTCGATTCTGTTAAAACACTGGGAGACTGTGGTAGAACCACCCTGTCTTTGGTTCCGTGTCATTCCATCTGACTGGTGGTCGTCCCGTTTTGACGCTGCTAGGTCTGATTTCAGTATCTAGATAACGAACCGTAACGTAACCATCAGTGATACATTAAGACTAACTAATGTTAGTGATAGTCACTCTCAATCGTCTCTCTACTGTGTAGTACGTTACGATACTAAATGTTCTCTACGTGGTGTTGGAATATGTAGGGAACAATGTTTCGGTGGCTTTCAGCAGAGCTGCCCCTGAGCGGCTTCTGCCTAGCAGATGTCCCAGGAACATAGTAGGGCCTCAGTCCGAAGGGGGAGCAGAGTCAGGTGGACGGACCGCGGCGTGTGTGCCCCTCCTCCCAGCAGAGCCCCTGGCCTCAGGGTCAAAGGCATTTCTGATGCACTTGTTATTCATGTGTTAACGGAAACAGCCCGGTGTGGTTACTGAAAGAGCTGGGTCCTCAGCCGTAAAGGCAAAGGGATGGCAGGAGTGTCATGGGGCACAAGGCCAGCCCATTGGCTCTGGCCAGCAGGCAGCGCTGTCCCCAGGGCGGGCCCGACCCACCCTTCGTGCCCGCCTCGCAGCTAGTCTGTATGTTCACAATGAGCCGTCCGCCCCATCCCCCTGTCTGACGCGGGCTCCGGTCCCTGCCTGGACACCCTGTGCCCAGCAAGGAAGGTTCGCTGGACATGGTCTGTGGCTGGACACAGTCTGCGGTTCTCGGGCAAGCACAGGAAGGCTGGGCTCCCTGGTTCTCCTCGGGCCGTGCCAGGGCTCCGGGGTTTGGTCCCGAACCCCACGCAGCTGGCAGGGGCACAGTGTTGCTCTGCTCTGTGCGTTCCTCTCGCCAAGAACCAGCTTTTCCAATGCTACTCAGCCCCGCGTCCCGTCTGCCCATTTCTGACCGGCGTCTGCGTGTTCTTCTCTCCAAGTAATCGAGTCACCCTCCGCCCGACTCTCCTTCTAGGGAGCCTGCACCGTGTGTCACCGTCCCCCTCCCGCCCGCTAACAAAACCATGTCCCCCCGCCCTGTCCCGACAGGCTCTTCTTCCGGAGACACTACCCCGTGAGCAGCGTGATTTTCTGCGCGTTGGACCCGCAGGACAGGAAGTAAGATAATCTCTGTATCAAGCAGCACGCGTCCTTTTGCCCGTTAAGCAGATAAAGACGTTAACGTAACTCTTCCTCTCCTTTCTGTCCGCCAGGTGGATCACGGATGGCCCCTGCTCCAGGTGGGTTCCCGGACTCCAGCGCCCTCCCCGGCATGGACCAAAGTTCATGTCGTTACTGAGTTCCAGCGAGGGTTTCCTGTAGGGAAGGGAGAGACTCGTGCCAGCGCGTTCACGGTTTAAACACAGGGAAGCGCGTCCTTCTGTAGGAAGGGCCTCCCGGGGTTCGCTTTCCCGCTCGCTCCTCCCCGAGACACACAGTTCCCCGGACCGCAGTGTGGAGCCAGTTGCACGGCTTTTTGGGCCATTCGGGGCAGGCGCAGACAGTAGGTGCACGAGTTGGGGTAGAGGAAGGACGTCCTGTGTGAGCGACAGCGACCTGGCGCTCAGCTTTTCGCAGACGCAGGGGGAGCGCGGTTTCCGCTGCCCTGGCCCCGCAGCAGGCCAGTCTTGCTGGCAGCGGTGCTCCTGGAACCTTACGGAACCTTCCGGAGCTGTCTGCACCCTTCAGGCCGGCTTCCTCTGTGTAACCTAAATCCGATTGCCGGGAATCGCTCGAACCACACGGGTCCCACCCTGGCACCCCGTTCATGGTCCTGTTTGTCTCGGGATCTGACAAAGTGCTCGGAGGCCCTGGGCTCTGGCATGCGGGGCTGGCGGTGTTCCCGTGTGTGGAGTGCACTACCCCATTGGGGCTCCTCGAGCCACACGTTCTGTGGCGGGGAAGCCACACCACTGGAACAGATGAATCCCTCGTTTTTCTAAGAAGGAGCAGAGCGAGTTTCCCGGGGATAGCGGAAGTCCCCGTACGAGGGTCAGGGCTCATGGAGGCCCATTTGGAGAACGACTCCGATTCCTCTAATAGTTAGACGTGCGGTTCTTTTAAACCATTTCCTTCCTTACCCATAGTTCGTAACTGCGGTGTAGGAGGCCCGAGGGCAAGAGTGTGGGACGTCCAGGCAGGGCCTGCGTGCGGCCCTCACCTGAGCCCCCCGTGACCTGATTGCCCTACCCCAGTACTGGAGGGACCTGGCCTCCTCTGGGAGAGTCAGGCCACCAGCCGTGTGGGGGCTCTGGGACCCGCTCTGACCTGAGTCTGCAGGATCCTGGCCAGGAGTGGCCCGGGGCAGTGGTCGGGGCGGTGGCCGGGGCGGTGGCCGGCCGTGCACCTGCCGTACCTGGGGGCTTGAGGGGTGGACAGGTGTGGGCAGTGCCCGGCTGAGTGGCGGTGAGTGGTGAGTAGAGGTTGTGGGGGTGCAGGGGGAGTAGCCGCAGGTTTGCACCCACTCTTGGACCTTGTGGGACGCTGGCGCGCTGACCTCCCACTTTCTCTGTTGCAGAGTCTTCGGGTTTGTGGCCCGGAAGCAGGGCAGTGCCACAGACAACGTGTGCCACTTATTCGCAGAGCATGACCCCGAGCAGCCAGCCAGTGCCATCGTCAACTTTGTGTCAAAGGTCATGATCGGCCCCCCTAAGAAGATCTGACCCCCCCAGTCCGAGACCGAGTGGGGCCGGAGCGTCTGCTGCTGGCATTTGGCCAGCCTGACGTTCCAGCCCCAGGAGGGCCGGGGGCTTCTCCTCCGGCTTCACAGACACGAGGACACACGGCCTCCCGTCTGCTGTCCTTCCCCGAAACACTGCTAGCCAGCACATCTCCGTAGCCAAGCGCTTCCCGGGTGGAGGAAAGTGGGATGCACGCGGCAGGGCCGAGCGAGGACGCGGGTCCCCGTGCCCCTTGCACGCCGGCATCGGTGGGAAGGAGCGCATCCGGCTCCTGGACGGCAGCCCTGGGTGACCGGGGGTGCCACCAGCCATGCGCAGGGCCCCCGTCCATCCAGCACCCGAGGGAGGCCTCTTTCCCACGACAGAGACACTAGCTCACCGAGAAGGGGATGCATGTTTGCTGAAGGTCCGTGCAGGTCAGGCCCTCCCAGAAGTCAGGGGGCATGAGCCGGGGGGGAACGTGCTGGCTGTGAGGACCAGGAAGGCCACCCAGTCCCTGGGGAGGGCACCGAGCTGCCCGCGTGCCCCGGCCCGGCAGGCAGTGGTCGCTCCGGCCTCCCGCTCTCACTCCAGCTCCAAACAGGGTGTTGTCCATGAGAGGAGAAGGAACATGGACGTGAAGTGTCTTTTTGTGTAATTTATATTCTACTTATGCCAAATTATTTATGGTAAATTGCCGGGCAGGATGGGGTCCCGGTGCTGCGAACTGCCAGGCCGAGCCTGTGCCCATGATCCAGGGCCACGTCCCCGACCGGCCAGCTCAGCAACCTTGACCTCCCCAAAGCTCACTGGGGGATGGTTCCCATCCGGCAGGTGGGTGACGTTCTTTCTGGGAAGGAAGGTTCCGGAGAGCGGGTCACATTTGGGCGGAGACTCAGCCCTGCTCTCCCAGGCAGTTCTGGGCCCTCTGAGCTGTTGGCCACTTGTCCCGGCCTCTGCGGCCCCCCCTCTGGGATCCTGCATTTCCAGCACCCGGAGCAGAGGAGGAAGAGGAGGAAGATAAGGAATCCTAGTCCTCCAAGGCTGTCTTTGGCTGAGAGCTGCTCCCCTGCGTTTCCGAGCTACCGAATCCAGATGCCAGTCACGCCACGGCTCCTACGGGTCCCCCAGGACAGACCGGGGGCTCGGTCTCCCCCCACACGGCCCGGGCACCCCGTGGCTCTGGGCTCCCAGGAGCTGCCCGCTCTGCCCGACCAGCTCTTTGGCCCCCTGGGCGTTGCCAGCAGGCATCACTCCAGCGGCGCGAATGTGCGTCGTGAGTTCTGTTAAGTGGGTCCGAGACAGATGTGGGGAAGCGCAGAGCGGAAGGCCTCACGTTGTGGGGCGTCGGACGCGGGTGAAAGTGGGGGGACGGATCCGCCGTCCGGCTCCTCTCCGTGCCCGACACAAGTGCCTCATTTCTGTGCCAAATGTTTGCCTGGTCTTCACAGACCTGTTCCCTGAGAGGTGTCGGTGTGGCTGTGTGGGACACGTTGGCGTCTCCTGGGGACCCTGGGGGCCTGGTCCTCAGCAGAGGCGGCTGGCATCTCGGGATTCCGGTCATGGCAGAGATCCGGCCAAAGGGGACCCGAGATGCCGTCCCCAAGACGCACCTCATCCCGAGATGGCTTCTACCCAGTTTGACCCAAAGACCGCAGGTCAAGTCCCTCACCCTTCCCACGAAGAGCAGGCTCGTTTAGAAACAGAGTGCGGGCCGGTGAGGGGTCCAGAATCACAGCGGGTGGGTGACCCGGGCTCCGGGGCCTCCCGTGCAGTCCCTGTTCCGAGCGCTCAAGAAGCCGCAGCCCCTCGCTGGTGAGGCGTACTGGCCGCCTGTGGCTTTCCTGGCCGCGGCCAGGACATCAGGACGTCTGCTCCCCGGTTCCTGATGAGCCGGCGCAGCAGGTTTCTTTCCCTGTTACACGTGTGTCACGCGGAGCAAGAGAGCCCCGCCCCCACCCCCACGCAGGCTTGGGGCCGCTCCGTGGAAGGCGTGTGGCCTCCGAGCGCTGGCGGGCACAGGGTCCCGTCCCGGGGAGCCCACGGTCCCCACCGCCTCACAGCCAGGGTCCTATTAGCCCGCTCATTAACCGGTCGCCGTGTCCTCCAGTGTTAACCTGGCGCCAGGGTAGGCCACACCGAATTTAAGGTCTCCCTGTGTGACCTCGGCGTCAAAGACCTTGCGTCTCCTTAGCGGCCTTATTGTTAGTGGGTATTTTTACTTTTCTTATATTGTAAAGAATATATCCAGTATGTAAATGAATGTTCTATAAACTCTTTGTATAGTCATTTTCTCTGCTTTTCAGATACTGTCTCTATTCAGAGTATAATAAAATTATCAACGTGGTAAAGCCTCGGGGAGACTGGCCTTTGCTGTGTGGGTAGAAGTGCCCAGAGGGGGTGTGCCTCTGTGAGCTTGCGTGTGTGTGTGTGCACGTGTGTGCGTACATGTGTTTCAGTGGGGGTTTTGTGGAGCGTTGGATTCGGTTATAAATTCACATATGGGGGCACCTGGGCGGCTCAGTGGGTTAAAGCCTCTGCCTTCGGCTCAGGTCATGATCTCAGGGTCCTGGGATCGAGTCCTGCATCAGGCTCTCTGCTCAGAGGGAGCCTGCTTCCCCTTTCTCTCTGTCTACTTGTGATCTTTGTCAAATAAATTAATTAAAAAAATTTTTAAAAACTATAAAAAAATAAATTCACATATATTTTGCCTTGGGCATCTATTTTAATATTTCCACCCAGGGACCTTTGAAAAATAACATTCAGAGATTTTTTTTTTTTAAGATTTTATTTATTTATTTATTTATTTATTTATTTGACAGCAAGATGACAAGTAGGCAGAGAGGCAGGGAGAGGGAGAGGAGGAAGCAAACTCCTCGCTGAGCAGAGAGCCTGATGCGGGGCTCGATCCCAGGACCCTGAGATCATGGCTTGAGCCGAAGGCGGAGGCTCAACCCACTGAGCCCCCCAGGCACCCCACATTCAGAGATACTAAGAATTTAATTGCGACGTGTGCTGTTGCGCCGAGGACCTGACTTCTGATGTTCAGCCCCGAGGGGACCTTCCAGGTGTCTACAGCGTGGGGGCTTGCCCCGAGTGTGCCGTTCGGTGGGCTTATCTATTGCTGCATCGGATGCAGGTGTCGCCCAGCACCCCTCCGGGGGGCTCCCCAGTCAGATGGGGCTCATCATGCTGGCTTTTTGCATTCCGGGGTCTGGGCTCCCTTTTCCTGGCTGACCTCCTTCCTGAGTTAGGTGACGGGGACCCAGGACTCATGGCCCTCATGCTGTCTGCGTCCTAAAGCCCTGAGCCGCTCTGTCCTGGGGCCCCCAGTGGGTGGACAGTCACTGGGCTCCCCAGGCAGTGCCTTCCTTCCCCCCTGCAGGCTGGGGTGACCAATCCTGCCCCAGCCAGGGCCTAAGGCCGAGAAGACGGAGGGTGTCGTCCAGGAGGATGTTTCTAGGGGGCGGCAGGCTGGACCCCTGACCAGTGTCACAGAGTAAAGCTGGGCAAGGCACTGATATGACAGCCACTAGCGTGGGCTTTCCAGGAGCACAGTGTGGATGGTCACCGTGGCCTGGAGCCCACCCAGAGGATTCTTGGAGAACCGGCCACCACCAGGTCCTAGCCTGGACGGGAGCTTGTGCACAGATTAACTCCCCGCTCATCACTCAGCGGCTACCACTGAGGGACATGCTGGGGATGGGCGCCCAGTAACACCCACTGGGACCCGGATCTAGTGGACATGGCTGCTTGTGCCCACCGTCTTGGGCCCTGGATCTGTTAGTGGTGGGCCCTCCACCTGCCCAGTCGGGACCCTGCATGTTTTGGTGGTCACTGCCCAGGCCCCATCCAGTGGGGACCAGGATCTACTGAAGATGAACACTGCTGTCCCATCTGCTGGGGACCCAGGAGCGATGAACGATGGGTGCCCGGGCCCGGCCCCCTTGGGCCGTGGATCTATTGGAGAGGGTGCCTGGGTCCCGCCCACACTGGACCCGTGGATCTGTTAGTGATGCGCATCAGGGGTCCCGCCCACCGGGGGACCCTGGATCTACTGGAGATGAACACCCGGTCCCGCCCACTGGGGACGTCGTGTCGTATCCTCCGTCGGGTTCCTTGTTTCCCCTCAAGGTATGTGTGTGGTCGTGAGCCGAGCTTCCCCAGGGTCTCCGGTCACGTTTTACAGAGCAGACTCTAAGTGGAATCGGAGTTTCCAGGTGGACTTGGGGCCCCGGGAACACGGAGGGAGGGACATTTCATGACATGGGGATTGGCCGTGTCTGGACACACTTGGGTTGGGCAAGGCTGTTGAGTTGGTAACAAGAGAAAGCTCCAAGAAGGAATGGCCGTAAAGTTCCAGAGGAACCAGAGGCCAGAATTTGGCAGAGCGAGAATCAAAACACAGCCAAACTACATGCTGTTTACAAGCCTGGGCCGGGGTGACAGTATGGGTGGGGGAGGTGGGCCCCCAAAGCCCTTTGCTTATGGGAGGACGCCTGCAAAAGGCATCTGCCAGGACAACCCAGCGGACCCATGAGGCTTCTTTGTCCCCATGCATCTGAGAGAGTGAGGTGGGGGGAGGGGGGAACACCAGCAGGATGTCCTGCCCCCCCCAGGAAGCACACTGTGTCTCCCACTGTCCCGGGACCCCCCAAGAAGGCTAGGCCAGGGAAGCTGAGCCACGGGTCCCCCTTCTCTACCACTGAGACACCTGTGCCCCCCGCCCCCACCCAGGCAGCCACATCAGGACCGTGGGGGCCACAGCACCACGTAAACTGCACGGGCCAAATCTCTTGGCATCTCTGTGGCGACTGGACTTTCCTCGTGGGCACGGCGCACGCTGGTTCTCCAGCCCCAGCACGGATCAGTCGGACGTGGGACCCAGAGTCTCCTGACTTCACAGACTACACGTCCTGGATGCGACGGACAATACCCCGTGCGCCAAAAACCAGGACACGTGGGATGACCCAGAGAGCAGGCTTCTGGGAGCACACGAAAGCCTTGTTCCTACAGTGGGAGGACAAAACAGAGAAGCCACTGCAAAGAGGAGGGATGGAAAGGAGGAAAACAAACCTCAGACCTGAAGAGCACCGCACAGGAGGGGACGCTCACGGGAGGACGGGCCACAGACAGGAGGAGACGGGAGGGTCCGTGAGTTTCGGGCCCGGGGATGGGATCTGCACCTGCCTGGCATACCCAGGGATCTGGCGGCTGCCGCGGCCTGTCCAGAGGCCCTCCCTGGTGTCATTGAGTCCCCGGAGAGGAGCAGGACAGGGGGACGAGGGAGCAGCTGAGGCAGCCCCCACAGACCCCAGATTCCGCACGCCCCCGGCCTGCAGACTCAAGAAGCTGAGTGAGCCCCGAACTAGAGGAACGGCGGCAGCCGAGGTCCTGCGAGTCTCTGCTTCCACAGACCAAGGGCCCGTCCTTTGGAGATGCAGGGAGAGCGGACGCTCTCAGGGAAGGAAAGTTCGATGGGGTTGCCGGGAGGCCTGCAGAGGCTCTTTGTGAAGAAAGGGAGCCATCCAAGACTGAGACGTGGAGCCCCAGGAAGGAAGAGGGAATGGGGAGAGCAGGAGACCCCCAGGCTGTATCGTCATGTGTGACTGGTGATTGAAACAGCAGCTCTGGGGCCCCTGGGGTACTTGGTCGGTCAAGCGTCTGCCTTCAGCTCAGGTCATGATCTCAGGGTCCTTCCTGGGATCGAGTCCTGCATCAGACTCCCTGCTCAGCGGGGAGCCTGCTTCCCCCCCACTCCCCTGCTCGTGCTCTCTCTCCTTCTCTCTCTCTCAAATAAAAAAATTACAAGATCTTAAAAAGACCTATCAGGCCAACGTTAATTTTAAAAATCAAGCCACTGTTTTCACGTCTGACAAAGTGTACTTTAGGGCACCGAACAGGACTGGGCCCAAGAACATGTGTCCTACAGTCATAACGGCCCCGTCCCCCAGGAGGACAGAACCCCCTGGACACGCCCCCGCCAAACACACAGCCTCAGCGGGGGAAGCCAGAGCTGGCGGAGCCGAAAGGACAGAAAAACCCAGAGCTGTGGGCTGGGGGCTCGACACCCCCTTCTCAGCAGCGGAGAGAACTCGACAGAAAGTGCCCGGGACGCAGGAACGCCAGCAACACAAGCAGCCCGTAGGACCCAACGCACAGACTTGGGCTCCCCACCCACAGCCAACGGCGTCCCTGCGTTCAAGAACCGTGGAAGGCTCAGCAGGACAGACCGTAGTCTGACCCCCGAAGTGGGGGGGAGGAGGAGAAGGGGTGCGTGCTGTCTGGGGAGAGCTTGCAGCTTCCCAGGCTGTGGACGGCGCCTGGCCTCTGGTGGGACAAGGAGGCAGAGAGAGACATTGGTTGAACGCCTACTGTTTGCCAAGGGCAGTGCCAGCCCTGTTAGCGCTGCTGGATGGGTCCGGCGTCCCTGGGAGGCGGTGCCCAGGCAGTCCCCACCGGTCGCAAACAAGGGTAGGAGAACCCTGCTGTCGGCCGGCCGGGACCCCACACGGAGGGCCCGAGTGACCCCGCTGATGGGGGATCATGTCCAGGGTTGGAGCCGCAGTGGCCGCCCCTGTCCTATAGGGGGCGGGGAAGAGCCCGGCGACCCGCCTGCCTGTCCACACACAGCCGCAGGTGGCCATGGCAGGTGGCCCTCGCTCATTTATGGGTCATGACGCTCAGGGTCCGAGAAGTTCAGTATCTCGGCCACGGCCCAGGATGCAGGCCTGGACAAAAGAACCCAGTAGTTTCTAGCTGCCCCTGTCTCGTGTGGGAGTCCTTCCGTCCCAGGCAGGCAGCCCCGAGCCTGGCTCCCCAGAGGCCGACCCTGCCCACCCTCCCCCCGTGAGCGATGTCCTGACGACAGGCTCCTCCTGCTGCACTTTGCCCTCGTCTGGACAGGAAGGTTCCCCTGAACCGCCATCCGCTGTGTCCCGGGATTTGGGCTGGATCCAGGCGGTGCCCGGCGCGCTGCGGGCGGCACTGCCCCCTGGTGGAAGGCCGGGCTTACTGCAGCACGGAGCAACACCCAGAGACCGCGGAGTCCGCGAGCGGGGCCTGCAGGCCAGAGCCCAGGAGTGGAAGGTATGCAAGGACGCGGGTTGTTCCGATGTTAGGAGCGCGGATGCCCCACCTGGCCTCCGGTCTGGGCTCTGGCACGCACTCGCTCTGTGGCTGGGGCAGCCCCTCGGCTGCTGCCTCCCAAAGCCTCCTGTCCAGATGAACGTGGTGGTCGGGCTGTCTCCGTCTCAGCGGGCACAGGTGCTGATGTGGCAAAGCTGGTGGGCTCAGAAGAGAGGAGAGTGGGCCGTTCTCCCCTCTGCACGCCGCCCTGCCCCTCTGGTGC